TTTCTGAACCGTCCCAGAAGCGGCTCTCCAAGGCGTTTATGCAGCGATCTGTCATGCCACATCAAAGACTGTCAAAACGCCATTTATTATTTGAATTTCCGGAGAAAAAAAAAACTGTATTCGTTCGGTTCACATGCGTACCGAACCGAAAGACCCGTACCGAAACGGTTCGGTACGAATACGTGTACCGTTACACCCCTAATGCTCAACCATTAGGGAAACGCTTTTCAAAGCTCATGGTGGGATAAGACAGACTCTAGAAATAGTTTGCACATTTAGTTGATCGTGCTTCTGGCTTGAGGAACTGTTTGGACCGCTGAAGCAGCCATTTCTGATGGGGTTTTGGGTTAAATTTTCCTTGTCTTCTTGCCCCCTGAACTAACAGTGGCAAAGCGGAATCCTATTTTCCACCTAATTCATTCCTAGTTTTCCATCTATTTATAGAGGCAAACTTAAAAACATGTACTGCTTCTTTTTTCTTATAAAGGGATTTTGTGCAGAAAATGCTGATGAATTTTGAAGTGATAGCACAATCAAATAAACAAATTCATCGTTTCCACAACACTTTTGGTGTTTTACTATCTAATACAAAGACATTTTACTTTTTGGGGCTATTATATTTAATTCAAACCATTTTGTGTTTTAGGTTAACATGACTTATTTTGTCACTGAGCTTAAAGTAAACCCTATATGGTTGATGGTGATATTTTTTCCCCCAAAATTCTGGATGAAAATGCTGAACTGACGCTTTTGTTTCTTTGTGGGACACAGGCTGAAAATGACCTCAACGAGCTGAAAGCATTGATGCATTCACCCAGCGCTATTGTGGTAAGAGCACCGGACTCATCCACATGCACACTTAATACTGAAAGCTTCTGAAGCTTCATTTGGAACAAGTGTTGTAGAAAGGCTTATTGCCTAGCTAGTTTGTAACTAACTCTGTGCTTAATTTGGTTGCACCATGTGTTCTTAAATAGTTCACCCAAAAATGAAAATTCGCTAAAAATGTTTCTTCATGGGAACAGATATGGAGTAATTTAGCATTACATGAATGGGTGCCGTCAGAATGAGAGTCCAAACAGCTGATAAAAACATCACAATAATTCACACTGCTCCAGTCCATCAATTAACGTCTTGTGAAGTGAAAAGCTGTGTGTTTGTAAGAAACAAATCCATCATTAAGACACTTTAACTGTAAAACGTCACTTCTGGCCAAAATTCAAGTCCATAATCCATAGTAATGCTTCCTCCAGTGAAAACATTCATTTTGGGTGAACTGTTCCTTTAAGGCAGAACATAGCTAGTGAGTTGTAAGCTCTATGTAAAGTAATGCATAATCGCATAATATGACATTTACCCCTAATGATCCAATAGCAGCCTTCAAATTAGTGAGCAGAAGTTGTTGCTTATCTTATTAAGGTTGATTCTAACTTAATTTGTCTCATATAATTTTCTGTAAAAATAAGTTTGATACTTTATCATGAAATAGCATAATTAAGTATTTTATATGTAAACAACATTCAAAAACTGTATTTGAAGTTAATGTCAATAAATAAATACTGATACAAAAAAAACATGAGAGTTGATTTTATTTGACATGCACATCGAGGATGCACATGCTGTTTAGATCAGGTTTATTTTGAAGAGCCGTTTATTCACATAATATTCTGTCTATTTAAAATGCAAGTGAGTGTAAATGTCAACAATCATATATTTCTAAAGAACTAGGTAAAGAAATTAGCTTATTGATGTGATTCACAATCTGCTGTTTTATTAACTGATATTCTTCCATAAATATGTAATTTATGGCTAGAGTCATTTCAATGGTGCAACAGAAAAATTAGGCATATTATATTTTTTAACTTAGTGCCCCTTTATGTCAAACTAGTCTAATACTAGTCTTTCCTCTTAAAAAAAAAAAAAACTGGCTAATTTAAGTGAAGCAACTTAAAAAGAACCCAGTTGTCTTTGCATTCACACTGTCTGTGTCCTTAAAAGGGGGCTCAAAATTTGTGCTATTTGTAACCATGTTTTTAGTTGTGACTGTTGTGTGAATGTAAAGTGGATTATTGAGCCATATATTTGAGAAATGATTGAGTCACTGAAGTGCTACTGAAAGTGAATCTTTCTTTCTCTCTTCTAGCGGATGAAGTTTCTGCTATTACAGCAGAAGTATCTGGAGTATTTGGAGGACGGAAAAGTTCTGGAAGCTCTTCAGGTGTTGAGAGGAGAGTTGACTCCGCTCAAATACAACACAGATCGAATCCACGTGCTCAGCGGGTACTAAACACGACACATACATGCACATTAACATACTCGCAATTATTGATAATTATAAACAACTTCTCTGTCTTGTGAGGTTTATTTGTTATTGCTAAAAATGCAATTTTGCTGTATAGATTTTGAATGTAATTTTTATTTCCAATTTCCTACTATTGTGCTCTAAAGAAAGTGTGAATCATTTTGTGATTGTCTGTAATGGCTATCGATGGCTTATTGTCATTGGCTGTGATGGCTGTTGATGGCTCACTCTGACTGGCTGTGTGTTTTAAGGTATCTGATGTGCAGTCACCCTGAGGATCTGAAGGCAAAGGCTGAATGGGAGGGAAAAGGCGCTGGGTCACGATGTAGATTACTGGACAAACTCCAGAGTGAGTGTACAACCACACACACACACATTTACAGAGCTATATAAGTGAGGACACACCATAGACTAGATATGGATTTTATTAGGGATGCATAATGTATATCGCCATTATTTGTATAATATTTGTGACCCTGGACCACAAAACCAGTCTTAAAGGGATAGTTCACCCAAAAATGAAAATTTGATGTTTATCTGCTTACCCCTGGGGCATCCAAGATGTAGGTGACTTTGTTTCTTCAGTAGAACACAAAAGAAGATTTTTGAAAAATTGACACTTATGACTGGTTTTGTGGTCCATTTATAAAAATTTATATTATTTGTTATTATTAAAATGTGATAAATATTTTAAATCTTTAAACACCTAAAACTAGGGGTGGCACGATACCATTTTTTCAGAACCAATCCCGATCCGATACCAAAAGTTCTGAGTATCGGACAATACCGATACCAGCACAGTTTTATTTTTAATTTCTATACCTCAGTGTGTGTTGACCTGATCATCACTCTTTTGTGTATTACACACAATCTACTAAATATAGACAACTTCATTATAAAGAAAAATAACAAATTAAAAAATATATAATCATAATCTATGAGAAAAATACTATTATTATAAACTAGGTTAGTGGATAATTCAGCAACAAAAGTTACTCTACAAAAATGATGAGTTCACAATAATTTTATAAAATCTAAACATTTAGAGAAAAAACATTATTTAGTGGGGGAAAAAATAAAAGTAAATAGGTATTATCTGGTAAAATGTTACACATTGCTCTTTGTATTGTAATATACATTCATGAAAAACAAGTAAATATAATCATATATAAATATACGCAATAAATTAAATACATTTCTTTTACATTTATAGCACAGTAATGAGGCAGCAACATATGATAGATAAGACAGAACAAGAAAGGCTATTAACAATCTTTCATTGCGCAAAAGTATAATAACATGAAAGGCTCCAATACAGATGGGCACAAAAGCGCTTATGCGCATCCCGTGCGCAGGATGATGCGCTTGAAGCAACACGGAGTCACAGCGCGCAGC